GCACGTCCAACAATCGAAAACTCGAACCTCCTTGACTGTCTATCGAGGTCAACAGATGCTTAACAGTGAGTTCGAACAACTGTCCAACAGCAAAGGTGGCCTACTGTCGTTCAACAACTTTTTATCGACGAGTACTAATCCAGAAGTGTCGTTCATGTTTTCCTCAGGTACACCGGTCGATCCCGACATGACTGCGGTTCGATTCAAAATTGAAATCGATCCTAGTCTAACATCCGTTCCATTTGCCTCTTTGGACAATCTAAGTAACTTCGAGGAGGAAAGGGAAATTCTATTTTCCATGCACACAGTTTTTCGAATCGTTCACGTTCAGCCAATAGAAAATCGTCTCTGGCAAGTAGAACTCACATTGACCACTGCCGATGATGATCAAGATTTGAAACGACTTACAGAACGTATACGACAAGAAACACAGGGAGGAACAGGATGGCTTCAATTGGGCAAATTACTAATGAAAATGGCACATTTCAAAAAGGCCGAAGAAGTGTACCAGACACTACTGAAAGACACATCTGTGGACAATCAAGAAGAAATTCTTTCCCTATATTTGGGTCTTGGAAGATTCAAAAGTGGTCAAGGAGAATATGAACAAGCACTCGAGTTCTATCAAAAGACACTCGAAAACCAACAAAAGTTGCTCTCTCCAAATCATTCTAGTTTGGCTACTACTTGCAACAACATTGCTTTAGTCTATGATTGCATGGGAGAGCATTTGAAAGCATTTGAATTTTGTCAAAAGGCACTTGAAATTCAAGAACATTCTCTTCCATCAGACCATTTCAGTTTAGCTATTACCTACGGAAACATCGGCTTGGTGCATTTACACATGGGTGAATATTTGAAAGCACTCAAGTTCTATCAAAAAGCATTAGAAATTGAACAACGAACTCTTCCTTCAAATCATCCAGATTTAGCACTTACCTACAGTTGCATTGGTGGAGTATATCATAATATGGGAGAGTTCTCTAAATCACTCGAATTCTATCAAAAAGTACTTGAAATCAACCAGAAATCGCTTCCTCCAAATCATCCTGATTTGGCTGCTACGTACAATAATATCGGCGGGGCACACTTAGATATGGGAGACTATTCCAAAGCACTTGAGTTCTATCAAAAAACGCTCAAAATCATTCAAAATACTCGTCCCCCAAATCATCTCAATTTCGCGGTCGTCTACGAAAACATTGGCACAGCACATCTAAATATGGAAGAGTATTCTGATGCATTGGAGTCTTTTCAAAAATCCAGTGAAATCCGAAAAAAGTCTCTTCCACCAAATCATCCTGATATGGGTGCTACCTACAACAATATTGGTTTGTTGCATTACAAAATGAGAGAGTATTCGGAAGCGCTAGATTTCTATCAAAAGGCACTAAATATATGGCAAAAATCTCTTCCCTTCGGTCATCCCAGTCTGGCTATTACATATAATAACATTGGTCAAATCCATGACAAACTGGGCGAGTATTCGAAAGCATTGGATGTTTATCAAAAATCACTCGATATCAGACAAAGCGCGCTCCCTTCCAGTCATCCAGCTTTGGCTGTCATCTATAGCTCTATCGGCTCAATACATTTAAAGATGAGTAATTTCCAGAAAGCGCTCGAGTTCTATCGAAAAACACTTGAAATTCGACAAAAATCTCTCCCGCCAAATCATCTTAGTTTAGCAATTACTTACAACAACATTGGTCATGTTCACACAAATATGGGAGAGTATTCGAAAGCACTCGACTTCCATGAGAAGGCACTTGAAATCGAACGAAAAATCCTCCCTCCAAATCATCCTGACTTGGCTACTACTTACAACAATATTGCTTTGGTGCATGACAGCATAGGACAATACTCAAAAGCAGCTGATTTCAATAAAAAAACACTTGATATTCAACAAAAATCTCTTCCATCAAATCATGCTAGTTTGGCTGTTACGTATAACAATATCGGTGCAATGCATGTAAGCATGGGACAATACTCAAAAGCGCTCGAGTTCTATCAAAAGACACTAGAAATATGGCAACAATGTCTCCCCCTAAATCATCCGGATTTGGCTATTACTTACAAAAACATCGGTGAAGTACATGACAACATGGGTGAGTACTCGAAAGCACTCGAATTCTATCAAAAAACACTGGAAATTCAGCAAAAATCACTCACCCCAAATGACCTCAATTTGGCTAGTACCTATAACAACATCGGTGTGGTACATTACAACATGGGAGAATATGTGAAAGCTCTAGAATTCTATCAGAGAACACTGGAAATCCGACAACGATGTCTCCCTCAAAACCATCCAGGTTTAGCGAGTACTTACAACTGCATTGGTGTTGTGTATTTGAACAGAGGAGAATACTCAAAAGCACTCGAATTCTATCAAAAGACATTAGAAATCATCCAAAAATCATACCCTCCGAATCATCCTAGTTTTGGTGCTACCTACAACAACATCGGCTTGATACATTACCACTTGGCAGAATATTCGAAAGCCCTTGATTTCTATGAGAAGGCGCTAAAAATTGACCAAAACTCACTCCCTCCAAATCATCTTAGTTTTGCTACTACGTATAAGAACATCGGTTTGGTGCATGACAGCATGAGAGATTACTCGAAAGCACTCGAGTTTCATCAAAAAGCTCTTGAAATCCGACAAAACTGGCTCCCTCACGACCATCCTGATTTAGCTCAAAGCTACAACAACATTAGCCAGATCTATGATCACATGGGAGAGTACTCGAAAGCAATATCATTTTGTGAACGCGCTGTTGACATTGGACAACGTTCATTACCTGAAAATCACCCTCATCTTCTATTGTACCGGAAATGCCTTGCGGACGTACAGAAAAAGTTAATTCACTGTATGTTTGATGAATAAAACACTAATTTTGTATCAGTACTGATTACATCCTCACACTATTGTTTAAAAGAAACAGTGAATCAATTCAACAACGACTAACAATAGCCTAGAAATGGTACATAGCAAAATTGCTTTGCAAGATGATCCATCAAGAATAGATAAATGTGTGTAACAGTTTGCATAATGCTATTTGCTTAGGAAAAATGATCCCCGATTTGTGTTCCGACGTAACAGTAAGGGTGTGAGTTTGGATGTGGGTATATGTTTCCATTTCTGCAACACTCACCCTTCTTGGGTGTGTGTGAGTGTATTTTCTCTCTCTAGATACACATCCACACCCACACTTTTCAAACTTTTTTCTGAGTGCACGGAAACATAACACTGTTGCACGTATAGAAGATTTCATCAGAATCGATTTCGAAAATCCATCAAAAAGTCTAAATGATGATAATTCACTTGCGACATTAAGAGGCATTAATATTATTGGTAGTGAATATGTACATTATGATAATCAAGACTCATATCTAATCAACACAATAGACATCGATCAGTTGTCATTATTTATGTAGCTTATTCTAAATTCTATCAAATAAAAGTAATGGCCATAATTCTAGTTTCCAGTAATACAAATCAAAAAGTCTCTCCATGGTGCAGCTCATCAGATAGGTTCAGAATCGAAACAACTCTAGTTCCAACCCTGGGTCTGAAATTTTACTGTTGACTGGAGTCAGATTTGAATGGGAGTACAACTCCTCAAATTCAGGCTTGATGAGTTCTAGCTGCACGTAACAGTCAGTTACAACTTGGTTATAACGAGATAACTGTCAAGATTGTTTCAAAACGTGAAGAGTCTGCTGATCACCGAAAAATTAGTCGAAAAAAAATCTAATATCTATGAAATAATCATCAGCTTGGAAGTAAAAATGTTGCGGGTGTGGGTATGGGTGTGTGGCTATGGGTGTGGGTGTGGGTGTGGGTTTTCTCTTGATCTACCTCTATAAACACTAGGGATGCAACGGTGACGATAACCGTAGGTACGGTTACCGGTCCACTACGGTAACTGTACTTACGGTTACCGTACCTACTACGGAAACCGCACCTACGGTTACCGTATTGTGACGGATTCTACCCGTCACTACTCTTCATGACCCCGATCGGACACATCGGTCATGTCCTAATGTTCTATTCATTAATCATTCTCTTTCGTTTTTCTCTCTGCGAGAACATATATACTGCGTTCATATATACTATCGTAGTTCATTATAAAAATAAACTCAGAACGAGTGAGTCGTTCCATCACACGTATCTACTACGGAAACCGTACCTACGATTACCGATCCACTACGGTAACCGGTTCAAACCGTTGTCAAGAAAAAAAAGCATTTTTATAAGAAAATAACAATACTTTATAAAGGTTGACGAAAGTAAATCGGGATCAGAGAATCCGAATCTGAGGTCAGTTTTTCAAAATTTTCAAATGAATTTTTTCGAAAAAGGAAAAGTTTTTCTAAGAAAATAACGATATTTTATAAAGGTTGACGAAAGGAAATCGGGGTCGGAGAATCCGAATCTGAAATCGGAGCCCCGCACCTTTCACTTTCCAAGACTAAGCCGCTTCTTGAAAATCGTGTTTTTCTCTCGAAACACTTATTCCTGATAAACATTATACTTGAAGACTAAAACGG